TCATATTTCAATTATATCTCAATAAAAAATACATTATCTCAAAGCAAGGAGTTAACCATCATAAAAATGAAAACTCATTATGATGACTACCTGAAATATGCACAACATTCCTAAAGACTAAGACATCATCCTAAAGGATAAATATTATAAAGGAGTCTATGTTGTTGTTCAGTCACCCAGTCGTGTCCAAGTCTTTGCGACCCCATGGACTGCAGCGCACCAGGCCTCTCTGTCCAACCCCCATCTCCCAGTTTGCCCAAGTTTATGTCCAATGAATCATCAGTAATGCCATCCAGCCAACTCATCCTCTGACTCCCTCTTCTTCTGCCCTCAGAATATTGTATACAGTTTGTTAATTCATTACATCAAACAGAAAATTTGCCAGTTTCAGGTGGATACTTATGTTCCAGCTGTTATATTTTCTTACTCAAATTCTGAAAAATAAATGGTCCAGTGGTTAGGACTCCAGGCTTTCACTGCCAAGGGCCCAGGTTTGATCCCTGGTCATCAGGGAACTAATATCCCACAAGCCTCTTGGCCAAAGTAAATAATAAAAACCATCCGCATTGGAATGTAAGCTCCATGAGGACAGGGATTTGTGTTTGATTCACAGCTGAAACCTCAGCACCTAGAATAGTGCCTGATGCACTAAAGAAACTAAAATACCTCAAATACATGTCCAATCCAAGTCTATGCATTCTAGTAAAATTCTGGCCTTTCAATACAAATGAAATACTTCTTAACCTGAAAAACCAATCACTCTAACATTTGTAATTCTTTGTCCTGAAGTATTTAAAACTATTTACCTATTTCTCATTCATATTTACTGTTTGTAATTTAAAAGTATTTTATTCTAACATTTTTCTACCCCATACTAGAAACCTGTTTTAAAATAAATCAGCACCTCTTATAGAGAGACCAAAAGGCCTTTTAAAGTGGGCTATTATGACACATTAAAATATAATTCAAAACAGAAAATTAGCTTTTCTGTTCTTAAGTTTGCCAACAAAGGTCCATATAGTCTAAGCTATGGTCTTTTCAAGTAGTCATGTACAGATGTGAGAGGTGGACCATAAAGAAGGCTGAACACCAGAGAATCGATGCTTTCAAATTGTGGTGCTGGAGAAGATTCTAGAGAGTCCCTTGGACGGGAAGGAGATCAAACTAGTCAATCCTAAGGCAAATCAACCCTGAATACTCAATGGAAGGACTGATGCTTAAGCTCAAATACTTTGGCCACCTGATGCAAACAACTGACTCATTAGAAGAGACCCTGATGCTGTGAAAGACTGAAGGCAAAAGGAGAAGAGGGCGGCAGAGGATGAAATGGTTGGATGGCACCACTGATACAACAGACACGAACTTGGGCAAACTCCGGGAGATGGTGAGAGACAGGGAGGCCTGGTGTGGTGCAGTCCATGGGGTCACAAAGAGTCAGACACAACTTAGCAACTGAACAACAACATCATGACGCATTAAAATACAATTCAAGATGGAAAATGAGCATATGGAAAGATCCTAAGCATCATATGTCATTAGGGAATTGCAAATTACATCAACAAGATACCACTACATACCTTCTAGAATGGTGCAACTCTAGAACACTGACAACACCACATGCTGATGATGATGTAGAGCAAAAGGACCTTTCATTCATTCCTGGGGGAACTGCAAATGGTACAGCCACTTTGCAAGAGAGTTTGACAGTTTCTTACAAAACTAACACTCCTACCATATGAGCCAACAATCATGCTCGCTGGTATTTACCCTAAGGGGTTGAAAACTTAGGTGCACACAGATGCTTATAGCAACTTTATAACTGCCAAAGCTTGAAAGTAACCAAGATGTCCTCCAGTATGTGAATGGATACACTGTGGTACCTCCAGACAACAGAATATTATTCAACACATATAAGAAATGAGCCAACAAGCTATGAAAAGACACAGGAATATTAAATGCATATTACAAAATGAAACAAGCCAATCTGAAAAGATTACATACTGTGTGATTCGAACTACATGACATTCTGGAAAAAGGCAAAACTATGGAGACCGTAAAAAGATCAGTAGTTGCCATGGCTTGGGTGTAATAGCAAGGGATGAATAGGGCACAAGGGACTTTTAGGGCAGTGAAGCTACTCGGTGTGATACTACTCACGCTACTCAGTATGATACTACAATGGTGGATACATGTCATTACACATCTGTCCAAAACCAAAGAATGTACATCACCAAGAATGAAACATAATGTAAACTACAGACTTTGGGTGATCATGATATGCCAATGCAGGTTCAGCAATTATAAAAAATGTATCACTCTGGTGAGGGTATTGATAATGGGGGGGCTGGGTATGTGCGGAGCCAAAGTGTATATGGGAATTCTGTGTACCTTAATCTCAATTTTGCTGTGAACCTAAAACTGTTCTGAAAAGATAAAGTCTGTTAAAATATATATATATATATATGTATATATATACACACACACATATTTCAACTGAAAAAAAAATCCCTAAGATAACTCACTTACATAACAAAGTAACAGGTGTAGTGATTTATTTTTATTCCAAGGAGGAGACAAAATAAGATATTTTTATAGAACATGTACTTCAGGTAAGATTTTCAATCTTCCTGGAACATTATGGTAATCTTAGTTGTATGCCTATTAAGAAGAAAAAAAATCCATTACCATAGAAACTACCAGGGCTAGTTAGTGCCTCCACAAATGGGGCAGTTATACCTGTTGGACCACTTAATTAAACTTACAAGTTCCTGTTTAACAGGGAAAGGCTAAAAACATCTACATCTGTTTTAAAGACTGATATACTTATGGGGTAATGAAAGTCAAGATAAATTGAGTGCTCATGCACGTACACACACACCCAGACACACCACACCACACACAACCAACGTGGTTAGTACAAATTAGATGGCTGCGGGCTTTGTTTGAATCCCTTTCGATTACATTACTCTGTCCAGGATGCCTTCGATGTTCATTGTCACCTGTACAAAGATTGCTCAATTACTGCACTGTGTCAGGTTGGGCTTCCCGGGTGGCTCAGTGGTAAAGAACCTGCCTGCCAATACAGGAGACACTGGAGACAGAAAGAGCCTGGTGGGCTACAGTCCATGGGATCACAGAGAGTCAGACACGACTGACACACAGGTGAATGGGGAAGGAAGTCTTTTGTTATGCTGGGCTGCATAAGGGAGCTCTAAAGCTCATAGAGATTTATTACAAGCAATATTCTAGGGATGTCCCCTCTTGCCAGCATCTTTTGCAAGAAGGTTTCAACTAGACATCAAAAATACAATCTCATTCATACAAAGGCACTGTGCCTTGAGTTCTTTTTAAATCTCAAACACCCTGGGTTCTAACACCAGGAAAGGCCCCTCCCCAACTCCTTAGAAGTCAATCAACATAATTCAGATTTAATATGCCTACCACCTCTTATCACACTCCATGCATTACTGACAACGAAATAAGCCTTTTTAACAGATGCCCACTTACTTAACAGATGTCACTTACTTGCTGTGTGGCCTGTCACTTATTCCTCTTTCAGTTGAGAAGTAGCAACAGCATTTAATAAATTATGCTTGGGAGTATTCTGAGGGCCTCATGTAATAGCCATGGTTCATGTTTTAAAATATTGATTTTCCTCTACCTGGTCAAGTTCAACTGCTCAAGAGCAGAAGCCAAACTGTCTCCAAAGCAAAGACTTCTTAAGAGACAAACAGCCATGTTAAGGTCTGTGGATACTAATTATATTTTCAGAAATCTTGAATTCTGAAAAGTGAGAGACTACAGAGTGGCTAAAATTATGCTCAAACAGACAGACATACGCATGCTCCAGCAGTATAAAATGCAGTCTTAAATGATTTTTTTTTTAATCTACAAACAATGATACTGCAAGTGAACCATAAAATCCTCAGTACTCCTTTGGAACTGGATTTTAAAATATCACTCCTTACTCTAAATATACAATTGATGTTAACTTTCAAACTGCCTCCAGCTTTTTTTTTTTTATTTTTTATTGAAGGATAATTGCTTTACAGAATTTTGTTGTTTTCTGTCAAACCTGACTCCAGCTTTTAAGGAAAACTTCATTTCAGATTTGGGGCCTGATATTAAGAATCTTATCACAACGAAGTGCTAGTAACAGCAGAACACAGACAAAGATGCTTATCGCTCCAGGAAAGCACAAAAGGAAAACTGCATCTACTGTGCATCATCCCCCTCCTCCTTTTCCAGGTATGGAGCAGCTAAAAGGAGGCAGCTATGACACACGTTACTTGGCAATTCTATTTCAAGTCCAAATAATGGTAAGATGGGAAACTACAACTGTCCCTCACCGTGAATGTCTGGGAACCACGTCTAGTCCTGAATAGGAAGCTTAGCTCTGCCTTGACAGATGTCCTCTTGCAGCCCTGTGTCCCGGTTCTGCAATTTGTCATTAAGCTGTTCAGTTTAACACTAATATGCAGAAATACGTTAGTACGCGAATGTACAGTAAATTCGTGTATATTACGAGTAGTATATAAAGCGGACAACATTCAGTCGTGGGCCGCCGGCCACACACACACACCCTTCAAGTTCAAATCCTTCAAGGCACCCAAGCGCCCACTCGCCCAGGAGAGGGAAGGGCAGGAGCGGCAAGCAGAGGTTACTCCAGACACCAGCCAGAACAAACACTAGTTACCGAACAAGGCAAACTTGGGTCTTGGAGGCTGCAGAGACCCCAGAAACGGCCGGGGAGAGGAGGGAGTGTCCGTCTGTCTCAACGGAGGAAGATGGGGGCGCACCCAGCACCGCTGAGCTGTGGAGGAGGCTGGTGTCCCCTGGGGAACAAGGGCGTCGCCGCCATTCTAGGCTGTGAAGCCACTCTCCGAGACCTGGCCGAGGCCTCCGGGTGCCTGTCGGCGGCCCTGTCGCCCCACCCCGCCCCCTAGTCCCTGCAGAAATGGTCCCCAAAGACTCACAAGGGCAGGGGTGCGGGGACCTACCTGGTGCAGCGTCTCGGCGGGCAGCTGCGACGCCCGGAACAGGTCGGCGACCGGGCCAGCGGCTGCGGTGGCCGCGCCGGGGGCAGCCCTGGCGGCCTCAGGGGGCCCGGGACCGGGGCCCCCGCCTGAGGCGCCGGCGCAGCGCGCGAAGAGCTCAGAGTAGTACTGCTGCTCGCTCTCGCTCAGCAGCAGCGGCGGTCCAGAGCCGCAGAGCCCGCCCGCCGCCGCCTCCATGGAGCCTGAAAGGGGGACAGGCGGAGCACCGTCCCCGGCTAAGGCGCCGCCGCCTTCACCACAGCCTCCGCCGCTCCAGCCTCGGCCTTGGCCGCCGCTGCCACCGCCCCCACGCCCCGCAGCTGCCGCGCGACCGCTTCCTCCCGGCGCGCGCCAGCCCCGCCCCCGGACTTGAATGTTGTGCCTCCGCCGCACGGCACATGGAGACAGGCGCGGCACGAACCAATCGCAGCCTAGGATCGCACCATGGCCCCGCCCCCGCCCCGCCCTGCCCCACCGCGCTGGGCCAGGTAACTAAACTCGGCGCGCAGCCTGCTAGGCGAATGGTCACCTGCTCCGCCCGCGCTGCAGAATCCAAAGAATCCACAGTCACTCCGCGTCCACTCTGCGCGAGAGAGGCATCTTTGGTTCTTCTCCCTACCTAGGAAGGGAAACATCTAGACCCACATGGAGAATGGCGCTTTTCAGGGGGTGGGAAAGGCTGTGGTGATTTCTCCCTAGGACGCTGGAGCAAGTGTACTGCCCACGTCACGCTGTGCCCTTCCCAGAAATGGACTAGGCACGGGATATGGACGAGGCATGGGTAATTAGGCTTCGCTTGTTCCATGACAGTCCTGAAAAACTGGAGGGCAGAGATCTCCATAGGAACAGGGTCCCAGTGACTCCTGTAATGTTCAAGGTGTTGTTCAAGGTGGCGACAGGGTTAAGCCACTTTCTCAGGCAAGGCTCAAACCTGGAGTTGAGCCTTAAAAAGGAATAAAATCGGTTAGTGTTAAATGCTAGAGTAATAGGAGTGAAAAGGGCCCTGGGAAGATTTTGCACATGTATATGCATTAAGCCTGGAGAAGGCAATGGCAACCCAATCCAGTACTCTTGCCTGGAAAATCCCATGGACGGAGGAGCCTGGTAGGCTGCAGTCCATGGGGTCGCAAAGAGTTGAACAGGACTGGGCGACTTCACTTTCACTTTTCATTTTCATGCGTTGGAGAAGGAAATGGCAACCCACTCCAGTATTCTTGCATGGAAAATCCCAGGGACAGCGGAGCCTGGTGGGCTGCCATCTGTGGGGTCACACAGAGTCAGACACGACTGAAGCGACTTAGCATACATTAAGCCTGGCTGGGAAACACTAACCCAAGGGAAAAAAATCAGTCCATGGTTTACAGATACACCTTCCACCCCAAACAGTGCTTAAAAAAAATATTAAAAACAAAACGGGGACTTCCCTGGTGGTCCAGTGGTTAAGTTTCCAAGCTCCCAATGCAGTGAGTGAAAGGCCTGGGTTCCATCCCTGGTCTGGAAACTGGATCTTACATGCCACAACTAAGACCCAGCATAGCCAAATTAAAAAAAAAAAAAAAACTCGGAATAGCACTAATGATAACAAATATACTTTGGTATTTTGTTCAACTAAAATAAAGACCAAGCACAGGAAGAGAAGAAAAGAAAAAAACATAAAATCAGGGGAAAGGGGAAAGATGAAAAGAGAACCATAAGAAGAAAAAAAATTATGTTAATTCATAAATGGTGCCCAGAGTAACATTTCCTTTTTGGAATCTCAAGAAATGAAATAGAAAATGAGGATCCCCAAAATTACTCAGATTACCTTATACCATCTTTTGCTTCAGACTTGCCAGGAGTGAGTTAAGACAGAGGTAAGTTTGGAGAAAAGAGTACCAAAAGGATAGGTAAGTTAGGAGCAACAAAGACTGACTGACTTCGGGAATTTCCACTTCAAAAATCTCACCACCATTGTATTTTCCACAACTGTAAAACCTTCTCAAGAAAACTGGAAGCCAAGAGATCATGTTTACTCTTTTCCCATTTTTCCCTTTATAGACAGGCTTCCCTGAGAATGGCCCACCATTCTAACAAAGGTGAGAAAGGGACGTATTCTCCATGATAAACATCAAACGCCACTTTTCCCTGTGACTCCTGCAGAAAGAAATGTGAGATATAATAATCCCTAACATTAATATACTTCAAGCTACATTATCTATTTAAGCCTGCAGTACCTCTCCGAGGTAGACTGCTTTCCCATTTTCATCCCCATTTTGCAGATGAGAAAATGGATGCAGAGGTGGCATGATTTGCCCAACTGAATACTAGATTCCCAGCTGATCTTTGTTACTCAACTCAGTTTAATAAATTTGACAGATATTTATTAAGCACTGCTATGGTTTTTCCAGTAGTCATGTATGGATGTGAGATTTGGACCATTAAGAAAGCTTAGCGTGGAAGAGTTGATGCTTTTGAATTGTGGTGTTGGAGAAGACTCTTGAGAGTCCCTTGGACTGCAAGGAGATCAAACCAGTAAATCCTAAAGGAAATCAGTTCTGAATATTCATTGGAAGGCTCGATGCTGAAGCTGAAACTCCAAAACTGTGGCCACCTGATGCAAAAAACTGACTCACTGGAAAAGACCCTGATGCTGGGAAAGATTGAAGGCAGGAGGAGAAGGGGACACCAGAGGATGAGATGGTTGGATGGCATCACCAACTCGATGGACATGAGTTTGAGCGAGCTCCGGGAGATGGTGAAGGACAGGGGAGCCTGGCGGGCTGCAGTCCATAGGGTCACAAAGAGTTGGACACCACTGAGCGATTGAACTAACTATTAAGCACTGCAGAGATGGGGAGGAGATTTCATATCTGTGCCTATCTATCAATCAACACTTATGGGTAGAATAAGAAGTATTGATTGTGTTCCTACTGGAATACTTTGAGAGATTTAAAAAAGATATACAAGACCTGTTGCTTTCAAGGAGTCTGCCGCCACACTGAAAAAGAAAAAACTAACACAACAAATAAAAACAAATAATAAAAGACAATATATAATTAAGTTCTAAACTCTGTTTATTTCAGTTCAGTTGCTCAGTCGTGTCCAACTCTGTGACCCCATGGACTGCAGCACGCCAGGCTTGCCTGTCCATCATCAACTCCATGTCGTCCCCTTCTCCTCCAGCCTCCAATCTTTCCCAGCATCAGGGCCTTTTCCAGTGAGTCAGTCTTCACATCAAGTGGCCAAAGTATTGGAGTTTCAGCTTCAGCATCAGTCCTTCCAATGAATATTCAAGACTGATTTCCTTTAGGATGGACTGGTTGGATCTCCTTGCTGTCCAAGGGACTCTCAAGAGTCTTCTCCAACCCCACAGTTCAAAAGCATCAATTCTTTGGTGCTCAGCTTTCTTTAGAGTCCAACTCTCACATCCATACATGACTACTGGAAAAACCATAGCCTTGACTAAATGGACCTTTGTTGGCAAAGTAATGTCTCTGCTTTTTAATATGCTGTCTAGGTTGGTCATAACTTTTCTTCCATGGAGCAAGTGTCTTTTCATTTCATGGGTGCACTCATCATCTATAGTGATTTTGGAGCCAAGAAAAATAAAGTCTGTCACTGTTTCCATTGTTTCTGCATCTATTTGTCATGAAGTGATGGGACCGGATGCCATGATCTTAGTTTTCTGAATGTTGAGTTTTCAGCCAACTTTTTCACTCTCCTCTTTCACTTTCATCGAGAAGCTCTTTAGTTCTTTGCTTTCTTTGCTTTCTGCCATAAGAGTGGTGTCATCTGCATATCTGAGGTTATTGATATTTCTCCTGGCAATCTTGATTCCTGCTTGTGCTTCATCCAGTCCAGCATTTCTCATGACATATTCTGCATATAAGTTAAATAAGCAGGATGACAATATACAGCTTTGACATACTCCTTTCCCAACTTGGAACCAGTCTGTTGTTCCATGTCCAGTTCTAACTGTTGCTTCTTGACCTGCATACAGATTTCTCAGGAGGCAGGTCAGGTGGTCTGGTATTCCCATCTCTTTCAGAATTTTCCACAATTTGTTGTGATACACACAGTCAAAGCCTTTGACATAGTCAATAAAGCAGAAGTTGATGTTTTTCTGGAACTCTCTTGCTTTTTTGATGATCCAGCAGATATTGGCAATTTGATCTCTGGTTCCTCTGCCTTTTCTGAATCCAACTTGAACCTCTGGAAGTTCATGGTTCACATACTGTTGAAGCCTGGCTTGGAGAATTTTGAGCATTACTTTGCTAGCGTGTGAGATGAGTGCAATTGTGTGGTAGTTTGAGCATTCTTTGGCTTTGCCTTTCTTAGGGATTAGAATGAAAACTGACCTTTTCCAGTCCTGTGACCACTGCTGAGTTTTCCAAATTTGCTGGCGTATTGAGTGCAGCACTTTAACAGCATCATCTTTTAGGATTTGAAATCGCTCAACTGGAATTCCATCACCTCCACTAGCTTTGTTCGTAGTAATGCTTCCTAAGGCCCACTTGACTTTGCAATCCAGGATGTCTGGCTCTAGGTGAGTGATCACACCATCGTGGTTATCTGGGTCATGAAGATCTTTTTTGTATAGTTCTTCTGTGTATTCTTGCCACCTCTTCTTAATATCTGTTGCTAAACTGTGTACCCCTGTGCTAAGTGCTGTGGGAGTTTAGAGAAGAGAGAAACATCTATGAGCCAGAGCTCAGCCAGGAAGTCTTGAGAAGGGGGCTTGAAATGTTTGTTGATTAATGGGTGGGGCTGAGTAGGCGAAAGGTCAGGACTGGGAGGGAGGATCACCGGAGAGGGAGGAGCCCTAGCGACTGGTGCCAATGAAGTGAGGAGTGAGGGACACAGGCTGGGGCAGGAGGGATGGACAGCCTCTGATGCGCTGTGACCAGACTCCATGAAGGATGAGAGACACAGCCAGAAGTGACCTAACAGCAGCAACGTTTTAACCCAGCAAAAAGGAAGAAAAAAATGGCATTTTAAAAATGTTTTAATATCTAAGGAATGCCAAGTATTGTTCTTTATTTCTACAACAGTTTTTTGAATAGAAGAAATAGTTAACAAACTTCAAATGAACACAGATAGAAACTAGAAACACTCGTATCCCTTTAAGGCTGATGGTAAACAAGAATATTTTAGAAGAGAATTTCTTTATCCTTTTTGCAATTCTAAACTTACACACTGGTTTTGGCTCCATCAATGGC